GTGTGTGTGTGTGTGTGTGTGTGCGTGTGTGTGTGTGTGTGTGTTAATGTGTGTGTGTGTGTCTGCACCTTTCATTTTCTTCCTTCTACTGTCCTTCTCATATTTCTTGTTTTACCTTTTCTCTATTTCTTCCTTGGAGAAAACAGTTTGTCCTGTATCGTGTTTCCCTATCGTGTGGAATAGTTTTCAATTCCAGCAAAAAAAATTTTCATTCGTTTATGAAATCACGCAGAGCAGATGTCCGTAAATGTTGGAAGAATGAGCCTATCGATTCTCAGATATATGATGTGATACTGGCGCCTTTCCTATCCAATGTGTGCTTACTTAACACCTTTGTAGAGAAAATAATTATAACAAAACGACCAGTTGAATGAAAAGGCTTTTGACTTTGTCTTTGATAAAAAGCAACACCTAACAGAGAAAAGAACGCAGAAAAGTAAGCAGTCGATATAGAAATGTCTGTGCAGCTACTGCCACCCTCTAGCCACCCTTCCAAAATGCCCGTAGATGGAAAACTAAGATTTCTTCACGAGGCGGCCAATCAATAATTCAAACGCCCTTGCTGGTTAATGGTTCATGATTGACGTTTAACTCGAACGGTGTTGAAATGAGGACTGTCTTGGGAATTCCGTGCTATAAAAGAGGTAATGGGAGAAGTTTGCACTATCAGTGTGGCCGGATGCGGACGAGAAGCCAGAAGAACGGCCTAGACAAAGGTGGTGGTAAAATTCGCTTGCAATGGCTGGGGAGAAGGGGGAGGGGGTGGAGATAAAAGCTCTTCAAGATGGTTCTGTGGGTAAAGAGGAACACATTTTATGAAATTTATATTTCATTGATACCTTCCTCTCTGCAAAACTCACAGATTGCAAGCGGACAATCCGTAGGAACCAAGCAAATTCCTTGTAAAGAAAAGTACTCGCAGTATAGTTCATTGTGCCATGTAATGAATCTCCTCCTATCTTTTATTTAATTTCCATTTAGAACAATCTATGCGATTTTAGTGATTACCTTTATGTTTTTAATATCAAAAGTAATATTAATCTGCAAACACCCACCAAGGCTGGTACGTGATCCACTCTGGCCAACATCCACGAATCATTTTAATTTACGAAGCATGTTCACAGTTTCTTGACAAAAAGTATCTGGAGAGCAAAGGCCTTGTACATCCTGCGCTCGCTGAAAAAAACAGAAGCCACATTCAAGAGTAGGCTAAGAACAAATCACTTGTAATATATTAATAGATGGCTAACAAGAAACATTTTTTTGAAAACGTGTAGGTTTAAAGACTAACCCGAATCGCGGATGTCTATTTCAGTTTTTGCATTCTATGATGATGACAATGATCTGGAGGGCACACACCTTTTTCTATTTTTTAATGACTACTGTAGAGCTATGGTTCCTGTAAAAAGAAATGGTTGAAGTATTTACTTCGCTCCAGGGAAGACACACAAACAGCCCGAGGTCATTTTCCTCAACAACATTTTCCTTCTCCTTTTCCTTAGCAGAAGCTAATTTCAAAAGACTTCATTTTACAGCCTTAAATAAACTCTAATGGTAAACCTTTCTTGTATTGCATCTGTTTAAAAAAACAGACCCATTAAAGGAGCGAAAACCACTTTCGTGTTCTTGCCATAAATACTTTCTACATGTGAACAGTTTACTGCTTGCATCAAAACGCCCCAACCATCAATGCCTTTCTAACCTCTTCGCCGTCTTTTGTATGCGATCAAAACATCACGCGCTGATAGAACTTAAGTTAGAGTGCCATGCGGTAAATGTATTTAAATGCATCAACGAGCATTATAAAACTTAATATAGCTCACCATCATCATCATCATCATCATCATCATCATCATCATCATCATCATCATCATCATCATCATCATCATCAACATCACCATCGTCATATAGAGACTGATACACAGACAGAGATAGAGAGAAACTGACGGACCAACACACAGGTGAACAAACATGAGAGAAAAAGAGTGGAATCCTCAGAAAGAGAAGGAGTGAGAAGCAGAAATGAGAGAAAGAGTGAAAGAAAGAGAGAGGGAGAGAGAGAGAGAGAGAGAGAGAGAGAGAGAGAGAGAGAGAGAGAGACAGAGACAGAGAGAGAGAGAGAGAGTGAGAGATCAAGTTTGAAATTGAGTAAAGAGTAGCACATCGACACAATAGTAGCCATTTAGCAATGGAAAAAAAAACCCAGACAGACAAATAATAGACAGAAAGTAAACAAGAAAGGCCTACCAGTGGTGTTCTTGTTTGTTTAGTATAGGGTTTTAAGGCGCTCGAAACTGCATAAGGACATATGAGCGCGCGGGACACACCTAATACTTTTAGTTTGTAGGAAATTTTGAATTTTTGCCCGGGTGACGGCCGAAGCCTACTCTTATCGATTTTAGACCACCAAGGGATCTTTAACGTGCGCAATTTGCACACGGGCCCTCCGAGATTTTTCGCCCTTGTCCGAGAAGGCTAGGTGTAGATCTTTCCTACAAGAAGATCAGGGGTGTAGCAGAAAGACAGCTGTAAGAAGGAGTCAAGGAGTAGCAGTAGAAAGGCTGCAGAAAGAGTCATGAGCCCAGAGGGGGCAGAGGGGGTAGGGGCAGAAAGAGGAGACGAAAGCAGACGACAGAATATTGCTAGAGAGCAGGAAAGGAGGTGAAAGGAGACAATTTTAGAGAAGAAAATTTTTCGGTCGCTACCCGGATTCGAACAGGGGACCTTTGAATGAGAGGCCAACACCTTAACCTCTAGGCCATGAGAGCCCCCAGTGGTTTTCTCCAACAATTTGCACAGAAAGAGAGAGAGAGAGAGAGAGAGAGAGAGAGAGAGAGAGAGAGAGAGAGAGGGGGAGAGAGAGGAGAGAGACAGAGAGAGAGAGGAGAGAGACAGAGAGAGAGAGGGGGGGAGACAGAGAGAGGGGGAGAGAGAGGAGAGAGAGAGCGAACGGAAGAGAGAGAGAGTGAGAGAGAGTGAGAGAGAGAGAGGGGGAGAGAGAAGAGAGATAGGCAGAGAGAGAGAGAGGGGTGGTATTTTGAAAGAAAATAAAAAGTAAATATTGATGTGGTGTCGTTTTGCTTTAAAGTATCCATGTCTGTTAGAAAATAAACGAATACTTTTTAATCGGTCCATGTATAATGCTCTCTTTCCCAGAGACCGACCACAACCGTGTGGCGGCGGAACGGTTGAAATGAGACCAAGACAGAGACAAGCACACTCATCCTTGCCAGCAGTTGTTCCTCAAATGTGATCTTCTCTTCAAAGATCTCCAGTGAAGTGTAAAGTTACGATTTTTGTTTTGCTTCTTGGAAATTCAAACTCACAATAAACTCGTTACATAAGCGATTTTGTGACATTTATTTCGTTTTGTTCTCTGCGACATCAATAACTCCCCCCCCCCCCGTCCTTCCCATTTCCCCACTTCTTTATCCTCCTCAAACTCACTCTTCTGGGATTGGATAAAGTTTTCTTCCTGACGTTAGGACTGGTAAGGACAACGTTGACTGACTGCACAAACAATAGTCTACTTCACGAAACTTTGAGGTCAGAATCCAAGCAAAGAATATTTTGAGATTTTTAAATGTAATCAGATGTATTGTGGCTGTTATTCCGACTGAATTCTAACTATAAAGTGTTCACTTGCTAATACTGACAACTATGGCATATTAAAGAGGAGAACGACACCACACCATTTTTGGGCTATCGATTGTCAGACGTATGTTCTTTTTTATGATTTGTCAATCGCAGGATTTTCACTTCTTGCTGGTGTGACATGCATGAATGGTAAACCATTTTCGCTGCTCATGATATCAAATTTATTTTTTCAACCGATCCCACTTACATAAGATAGTGATAAACACTAAAAGCTGTTCAATCCTTTTTCTTCTTGGATTTAGTTCTGTTGATCTCAACCTTTTAATACAATATTAAAAGCAGTTTGGTGTACTGTGAGTTATAAAACATGAGAGTTGTAAAAGGTGATTATTTGTTGTGCTCCAATAAAACAGAGCAAAGGTCCCAGTTCCTCAAAGTGAAGAGAAATGTAAGTAGGTTGAACTTGTGACTCTCCTTCGTCTACTTGTTCAACTTTTTAAGAACATAACGGACGCAACGACAGACCAAAGGTCATTTTGCAAGACATTTAGAGCAGTCGTATACAAATCAAAAACAAGAAAAATATATTTTTCATAATATGCAAACTGTTGCCTACTTTTTTCAGTAATGCCTAATTGAACATTATTGAAGAACCTGTATGGACAAAGAGATTGTGCTCATTTTTAGGTGACCTAAACAGCTTATTTCCAAGTGGCATCGAGAGAATAGATAGCATAAGAGCCCTCAATGAGCAAATTATTAGCCTTCTCTGAAAAATACAACGAAACAAAACACAATTAAGAAACCAGAAACAACAAAAGATTTCTTATCACAAGATCTTATTGCATCTGCGGTACAACAACATGACGTGTTGGTTCCGAGGTCTATGTAACTCTCTAGTAGTGCCATTAATGAAAAGGCCAATGTCCAAGCAGAAATTTCAGACAGACAATGAATTATTTCCAAAACAACTTAAGCTGGTCAGGTCAATCGTTGAATTCATCTACATCAAAACAACATAACAAGAATGGCAGGGCTTTGTCATCTCTCCCCCCACGATCGTTTTAATAAGTTAAATTAAAGAAAAGGTAGACACATTTGAGTTTTAATGTAAGGCAAAAGGAATTACTTTGAAAATAACGGTCACACAGTGTAGATAAAAGCAAGACAGAAAGAGACACCTAAAGGACAGCCGCAATGTAGGTCCTGTTAGTGGAACTCTTCAATAACCCACGAGTAAAGACACCACTCTATCTCAAGTGCTTGGGGCATTTTAAATTCCAGGTTTCGACGATGCCGCCTGCAACTCTCGCTATGGCTTTTTATGCGTCAGCTTACTATTTACAAAAGGAAACATTTCAAGAAGAGTAGCCCTAAAGTTTGAACTCATCGACACAAAAATATATAAATTAACTGTTGAGTTAGAGAGATCGAAAAAGAATATCCAGTAACAAATAACCATGAAAATGTTGTGGAACTTTCGTAAAAAGTAGAGCTCATAGACAAAATACTTGACCATATAAAGAACGATTCTAGGGAACAAGTTTATGACGTAGACAATGATGATGACAAGAAGCATGCGGACGATCTGCCTGTCTCTTGTTGAGAGACATGTACGGTTGGAGACGTTGCTCTCAGCACGAAACTGCGAGGATTTCTTTAACTGGAAAATGATAATAACAGTGGAGGCAACGATTACGACAAAACTAGCCGTAGGCCACACCACTCCAGACATGTTGTAGTATACCATAATAGGTCCTTGGTGAGCGAGAAAGAAAGAGTTATACGTGTACACGGCGATCGTAGAGTTATAGCGAGCACTGTACACCCAAAGGACATCGTAGAAGGCAAAGACGATAAGAAAACACCCTGATACAACCAGTGAAATGATAACCATGAAGAATAGAGTAACCTTAGGGGTGATTAAAGTTTTTACTTTAAAAGGGATTGTGACGCAAAGACAGCGTTCAACCGCCACATAAGCAGCCAGAACACTAGACACATAGCTGGCCACAGCCAGAATGTATACCATAGAGACCACGCTGATGTTTGACCATGTCAGCGAGTCTGCTCTGGACAAGAGCCCAATGGGTCCGTACCACCTTTGAGCCGCTCCAGCAACACACTTGAGCAGGTCCCACGCTGCTATGGTGGACATAGAGATGTTCATGCTGTCCTTATACCCCTGCCGGTAAAACACGATGAGCACCACGATATTGTTCACTATGCCGATGTGGGCAATGGCGAACGAGACGCACAATTCTAAGATGAGTTCAAAAGCTGCCCTCACTTCGTTGCTCACGAAGTTTTCCTGGGGAACAAAGTCATCTGCTAAACCTCTTCTCGACTGAGGTGGATATATGCTAACGTTGAGCTCAACACTTGAGCTGTTTACCGTTGAAAATTCAATCATGATTTGTGTTTGCAATAGACCAGAATCACCAGCTTTATAGCGCTCCGGCGAAATGTGTATTCAATATTGTTGGCCGACGACCACTAAATCTGGTCAACTAAAGTGTGTTGGCCTAATTCCAGATAATCTGAATTCAATTGCATTCTGTTTAAACATCCTTGTTGATACAATGTTTAACCACTACCTGAAAACTTCGTAGTTAATTCCGTGTAATATTTTGTTCAACAAGAACATAATGTATACAGTGTAACCAGCCTTTAACATGAATTCGTTTGCGTTTTATAGATCCCCTTAATAGCTCTAAAATGCACGCTTTACGTTTTCTATCCGTGACATTTGCAGTATAGGGATAACTGTATTAACTTGTCACTAACTATCTTCAGTCGCGGCTACTTTTCTGCCGTTTACTTGTTGAAGGTGCAGGAATGAGATATACTCAACTTAGAATATTTGATCTATAATTCCCAAATAAATATTAATTGCTTTACAAGTTTTCTTTTTTGTATGAAAAAAATTCAAGCTGGCTGGTATTTAAGCTAAACACTTCCCCGGCAGGTTGTTAAGCAATCGTTTTTTTTATAAAGCTTGTACAAACTTCACAAAGTTATGAAAGACATGATTTTTTGGATAATAAAGAAATGTATCCATTGATTTTTCTCTTTGAACAAAGGCGGTTGCTTGAGAGTATTCAAATTTATGTAACAGCGCAGAAACCATATTTCCTATCCTATCGATTATTTGAATGTTCAACTATCCACTTAAAAGAAATTAAACACTCTAGATCTCAAACATTAATTGGTGCTATTAAGAGAGAGAGAGAGGGGGAGAGAGAGAGAGAGAGAGAGAGAGAGAGAGAGAGAGAGAGAGAGGGGGGGGGGCGGGGGATTTCCTATTTGAAAGTACGTTGATCTTTTGCGTATATCTAAAAATTCCACATAATAACGAGTATCGCTTCAAAAACAGACCTCTGTTGAGGGGGGTGTCTGGGCGTGTGTTTGTGGAAGACTTTCGGTAGAAATTCTCTCTTTATTTGTGAACGGCTTAATTTTTGGGCCAAGAAAGTACGCCAGTTTGACAAGGATTTAACTGTATAGTTATAGTACCCGTTTCAATATCTTGGACATTGTGAGAGGGCACCAAGCCCAGGGCATGGTACTTCCCGTGAAAAGTAAACCTGCAGGTTAACTCGTTGTTTCTGTAGTGAGACGTCTGTTGGTACAAAATACTGTTGTCGTGAAATTCAAAATATCACAAACGAACATAACCCGGCACACGAACAAATGTGCAGACAAGCTAACACACAACACATACACCAACAAACACACTCACACACCAACACATTTACTCATAAATACATATACACACATACACACAAAACGCATACACAAACAAATAAGCCTACAACAAACATCGACAACAAACAACACAAAAAGCCCGATAAAATCATGGAAAAAGAATAAGGAAAATTATATTATAACAAAAGCAATATAAATTTAAAAAATATGGGGTAGCATTTGCGGGGGTGTTTCAATAACAGGCACTGGTGGACAGCCCAATGTTCATCGATTTCATTGTCAAATCAGAACAAGAGCATCTTTGAAAAACGAGGGGAGAAAGACTGGGTTTTGTTTGTTATGCCGTTATAATGAATAAACATTAGCAAAACGTGACATTTCTTCTTGCGCTTTTCATATCCCCCTCCCCTCTGCAAAGTCCAGGTAGAAGTATAATTTCCAACATGGTGGCATGATCGATACCACGTCACGTTCACCATCATCTGCTAGTGTCTTGCCTTGAGTAGACATTGGCAGTCATTGTTTTCCATCCTTCCGTTTTGTTCGAAGCCATTCAAAATGAAGTTGTTCTTGGTGTTGTTTAGAAATCTTGTGCAATGGTGTATTCGGCTGTTCTGATCTTTAATTTTTGTCATGCCAAACTAAGTTGTTTAAACCTTTGTTTATGTATGTGTGTCTCGTGAATGTCACCTGCCCCCATCTTGTTGTCTTAATGAGTGATTATGTGTGCAACTCTCAGTACTTTTTGAGTTCTGTTCTGTTCTGCTCATGATAAAGGACGTTTACCTAAGAGAAACCATTTAAAGAGATATAACTCGGCAATTTTTAAACGAATTTTAATAAACCTCGAAAAATACTATTATTTAACAAAGAGGATGTTCAATCTGTCAATATGAAGAAAATCCATCTAGGAAATATTTAGCGTTTCGAATAACAAGCACACTTGTGCTTATTAAGGAGATATACTTTATCTCTGAATCTAACATCACAGCAACCATGACTGATACTGCTAACAACAGAAATAAAACTACCAAACAGTTTTT